GAAGTACTCAAAAGAACTTCTCAAGAAATTTGAGATGGAAGATTGTAAAGAAATGGCTACCCCAATGAGTTCTCAATGCTCACTTGATAAAGATGAAAGTGGTAAGTCGGTTGATGTGAAACGGTATCGAGGTATGATAGGTTCTTTACTTTATTTAACTGCTAGTAGACCTGATTTGATGTTTAGTGTTTGTATGTGTGCTAGATATCAAGCGAACCCTAAGGAATCTCATTTGACCACTGTCAAACGGATCCTTAAGTATGTGAGAGGCACCTTGAACTTGGGACTTTGGTATCCCAAAGGTTCAACATGCACTCTTGTTGGGTATTCTGATTCCGATTTTGCTGGATGCAAAATGGATAGAAAGAGTACGAGTGGAACCTGTCATCTTTTTGGATGTTCACTTGTTTCTTGGTTTAGTAAGAAACAAGTTAGTGTTGCTTTGTCCACCGCCGAGGCTGAATATGTCGCTGCGGGAAGTTGTTGCGCCTAGATTCTTTGGATGAAACAACAACTTTTGGATTATGGCCTTGTACTTGATCATATTCCTTTGAGATGTGATAATATGAGTGCTATAAATATTACGAAGAATCCCGTTCACCATTATATTCTCGTACAAAGCATATTGATATACGACATCACTTTATTAGAGACCATGTCCAAAAGGGTGATGTAGACATTGAATTTGTCGATACAACTAATCAGTTGGCCGACATTTTGACTAAACCTTTGGACCGTGAGAATTTTTGTCGTATTAGAAATGCATTAGGAATTATTGCCATTATTTAAGTTAATATTCTTATTTTTTATTTATTTTATACTAACTTAGGCATCGGAGTGGCCTTATTTCTTTTTTGCAGGTTCTCACCCATCCACTCCTCTTTCTTACTCCATAGGAAGCATTTATTAAGGGGGAATGTTTATTGACTTTGGATATTTGAAGAATTTCAAAGTACTGCTTAACTACAGTGGTTTATTCGAATAAATTGATAATTATTCGAATAAATATGCTCCAGCCAGACCAGTCGCCTCAAGTTGATTTACTCGAATAATTTGGTACCTATTCGAATAAGTTGGATTCCAGTGTCTCGGCTCAACATGCGTTATTCGAATAAGTAGAGAACTATTCGACTAAATGAGATTGGATCTGATTTTTTTTATAAAAAGGTCTTTATTCGGTCAAAGCTCCTCAGCCTAAAATCGCAGTCCTCTTTCTCTCTCTCACTCGGCGATTTTCCAGAACCCTAGTCGCGGTTTCTTCATCGTCGTCGCCAAGCTCTTCTCACTATTCCATGGCGTCAAGGACGAAAAGGAAGACCATTCGGCCACCTGCCTCATCATCTCTCCCGGGTTCTTCGTCTCAGCCGCAATCTACACCCGAAATTTCAAGGTTTGAATTCGCTATTAATCCTCGAATTTTCTTTGACAAGAAGGAAGCTTTGGATTTCTTTCATGATAGTCTTCTTCCTCGCAAAATCATAACCCCCCGTTATGTTGACATTGTTGATTTTGAGAAAGATAATTCTTATGAACCGGTTTTATCTAAGTTTCGTTCTTCGGGGTTGATAAATGTTGTGACAATTTATGAATCCCATATCCCGGTTAATCACATTAAAGCTTTCTACTCCGATATGATTTTAAAGCGTAGAAATCATCAATATGTGGTTGTTTCTAAGTTTTGTGGCAAAGAGGTTAGCTTTTCTAGTGGTGAATTGAATGAGATGTTTGGCATGGAGAACAGTAACAGGGAGCTTACTACCCAAAATAATCCTCAAAACCCTTGGTATAACTTTGATGAGGAAAAGTGTTGGGAAGTGATGAATTTTAAACCCTCTTTCAATGAGTCTGGACGACCCAAAGTGAGTGGTATGCAACCTCCCCAACGATTGATTCGGTACATTGCTTCTTACATTCTGCGTGGTCACTCGGGGAATCATCCTCAAATGAGTAGAGATGATGCAATGCTTATCTACGCCATCTTGAAGCCGGTGTCAGTGAATTGGGGGAAATACATTTTGAGCTACATGAATTTATGCCGAGCAAAGAAGAAAGCTTTACCGTATCCCATGCTTCTTACTTTTCTTTTGAAGAAAAAGGGGTTTGAATTTCTTAGTACCGAATCGGACCTTGAGACAGCTTTTTGGAGGATCAAGAGGGCGACAGTGATGAGAGTCAAGATTGATACTGAGGACGGAGAACGTGAGGAAGCAGGCCCTTCTCATTCTCGTGTAGCTTCACGGGGTAAAAAGGTCACCTTGCCTATGCTTTTTGAGTCCCTGCAAAGCCTCCAAACCTCCTTCAACAACATCCAGCTCCAACTGGCCACTTACGGTTATAACTTGAACAAGATGTTGGTCAAGAGTGGAGAACAATGGGAAACACCATCCATGGAAGCGCTCGCACCTTACATGTCTCAGGGTTCTTCTTCTCAAGCTGCTCCTTTTGATGATGAAGGTGATGACGTTGATGAGGATGATGATGATGCAGAGAAGGAGGATGCTGACCACCTTGATGTAACCATGGATGGGGAATGAGTGGATTGGGAACTCATTTTCTAGCATTAATCATTTTAACTTATGCCTTACTTATTGACTCTATCTTTTGCATAACCCCTTGTGTTTTTGATTATGACTTTACCATTTGCTGTGCTTTTTATCTTCCCTTTTTGCTTATGACAAAAGGGGGAAGTGTGGGTATTGCTTGTGCTTGGTCCAGTGCACACAAACAGGGGGAAGTTGCTTTCTTGAACTTTTTCTACTGATTAATTAGTTGCATGTTTGCTTGTGTCTTGTGTGTGTTTAATTTGTTGAGAGACAGGAAACCTTGTGATTTGAGTCCAAGCACTTGTTCATTTGGGTTTGTCATTTTCAAAAAGGGGGAAATTGTTGACCCTTGTGTTTTGATAATGACAACCATGCATATGGGATGAGCTTTGGATTTGGATCTTTTCATGTGGATTGCCTAGCACGTTGCTTAGAGATTCAAGACAAGATTTGAAGATTAAAGGTTTTCTAGATTTTTATTTCTTTTGAGTCTTAGTTCATGTTAAAATGTTTGGCACATCTTTATTTTTCATATAATCTGTTTTTCCTACAGGAATTCCTCTTTGATTGTTCTCAAAACTCTTTTCTCAAAACCTTTCTTCAAAGATATTTCTTCTCAGGTTTTTATTCGAATAAATCATTATTTATTCAAATAAGAAGGACTTGCAGATTGCAGTTCAGTCTGTTTTAATCATAATTTCCAAAGTTTTGAAAATTATTCGAATAAATGGGTATTTATTCGAATAAGTTGGCTCCCAGTTTGCAGTTTGTTCTGTTTTATTCAAATAAATCCAGTAATTATTCGAATAAGCCCTGTGTCTTGAAAATCCTGTTTTATCCAAACTATTCGAATAAAATATGTTTTATTCGAATAAATCGACAGTTTTCACAACTAACGGTCAGTTTTTAAATTCCCGTGGAGGTTTCTTCGGCCCTATCCATATATACTCTATCTAGTTCCGGTTTTCAGAGAACAAGAACATCCAAGAACATTTACAATTGCTATCCTTTGAGAATTTCAAAGAGTTTTATTGAATCAAATCCTCCTACTCAATTCATTCAAGCATTTTCTTGAGCAATCCTTCAAATTGAAGTTTGGAGAGTCATTTGTGCCATACACTATAGGTTTGGTTGTAATCTACAGCATATCCGCTCTTGTTCGAAGAGTCAATTCCGTTGTGCACTTTGGTTTGTAAGTTTTTAAATTGTAAAAGCTTGAATTTGAAATAATTCAAGTTTTGGATTGAAATCCAAAGTCTTGTGAAATCAAGACTTCAGTGGAAAGGTTAGAGGCTTGTGAAATCAAGTTCTCGAGTTGTATTCGGATTGTTAAACTCCGTTAAGTTTAACAAGGATTAGTGGAATCTCGGGCACGTTTGCCTTGGGGACTGGACGTAGGCATTAGGCCGAACCAGGATATATCGTTGTCTCTTTACATTCATTATTTCCGTTATCCTTTTAATTTTTATTCCTGCACTTTTATACTTAAAGTCGAAAATTTTATTATTTTTGTAAACACCTCTATTCACCCCCCCCTCTAGAGGTGTGAAAGACGTCTAACAGAAGGCACTTGGGAAGTCACCACTGGAGTTTCTTATACCGAAGTTGGGCATTTCTTCATTACATGCTCCAACTTGAGGGGGGGGGGGGTGTAAAAGAAAAGAAAATATTTGGGAGATATTTTCGAATATACTCCCTCCGTCCCAAAAAGTTTGTTACGTTTAGAAAAAACTGCGTCCCATAAAGTCCGTTACATTTCTATTAAAAAACCACTTTTACCCCTTACTTTTTCATACCCTACCTATCACATCATACCTTTTTCCTAATAATCTACCCATCACATCCTACTTTTACCCATCACATCAAGGGTATTTTTGGAAAGTCAATACCAAGATATCCCTCCCTTAATTTCCCAAAAAGTCAAACCGTCCCATTCTTTTTGGGACGGAGGGAGTATTAGTTTTGATAGTTTTCTTGTATAGAGATTCCTTTTCCTTTGTTAATTAGGATTCTCCACTATATATGTATGTCTTGGTTGTAAATTGTAAACAAGAAAATAATACAAGAGAATTTTCTCTCAAACAATTCTTTCATAAACTTTTTTAATCTCTAAATAAGACTTAATAATGACTAGTGAGAAGAATAATGTCTGCTGGACATTTAGTTCAATAATGACTAATAGATAATGACCAATGGTCCTATATTGAGAAATAAAAACATATGGTTCTATATTGAAAAAGTCATTATTAATGAACCCTATACACATCCGCATTCCGCACACGGACTCCGTATTCGGAGATGCCCTGCAAATGAAATTACTTCTACAAAGCTTAAAGATCGATCTCACTACTCACTAGGTCGTTACAAGCTAAGGAATCAAATCGGATCAATTGGTGGGGCGGGGCTAGACAAAAACTTCATTAAATAATGGGTCATGCTATACTTACACCACAAATTGTACCCCATTTGTACACCGTAGTTATATATACACAAACATTTTGATGGTTTACACCGACACAAGTGTTGGTGCGCGTTAACAAAAATTTACTCGAAAACAAAATGTTGGTGCATTAACAAAAATTAGTTTTACGCCAACACAAAGTGTTGGTACAAACCTGCGAGGTACAAAAACATGGGGTAGAAATAGTTTTATCCTTAAATAATACTCCCTCCGTTCTATAAAAGTGTTCCTATTTTGACTTTGTGTAAAATTAAGGAAGTGTTAAATTGTAATTGACTTCCAATTTTGCCCTTGATGTGATGGATAAAAGTAAGATGTGATGGATTGAGTATTAGAGAAAAAGTATGATGTGATAGGTAGGATATGAAAAAGTAAGTGTAAAAATGGTTTTTTAATAGAAAGTGAAAGTGTTTTGTTGAAAGTAAAAAATGAAAGAGCAAGAATTTTTGAGAACGAAGGAAGTAGTAATAAATCACTGTGCACTAGAGAGTAGTACTCTCTATCTACGCGGTAAACAAGGTGTTTCAAATAGAGAGATATTGGAGATTAATCACAACTGTACTACTGTAGTACCCTCACACTGTATAGATGCCGACAAACAGATAATGAGTGTAATCAATCAATTAAACATCATTACTTTTGGTGCTAATCTCAATAGCCTATTCAACGCGGTGGGCAAAAATTTCCTAGCAAATAGGTGGCAAATAGCGGTGGTCCTGCCGTTGTAGCGGCAGCGGGTGCCATTCCTCATGGTGTTCAGGAAGTCGGCGGAGATGTCGGGGCCATCATACGTGGAGGGGTGTGGGCCACCCTGGGACCAGTCAACCCAAGTCAACGTCCGGTTGGAGTTCTTGTAGGAGAACATCATGGTTACAAACGTAGGGAAGTAATGCTCGTCGGAGTAGCAGGCCGGCTGACAGTAGTCCCGAAAGAGTGCGAAGTACTTTGTGTCGGACACGAGCTCGACCGCAATGTGACGGTCAACCTGGAACCACTGGGATCCCTTGAGCCACTGGTCGAGGGTGATGTCGGGTTCCATCAGCTTGTTGTAGCGGCCGCGCCCAACCGGTCCAGGGAGGTCGTAGGCCTCGATGAACGTCTGGGTGGAACGCATCAAGTAGGTGTAAACTGTGGAGAAGTTGAAGAGGGGAATGCATGCCTCCGACAACAGAACGAACCGCTGGTTTGAGTAATCAAGCAACGCGTTCGCTAGTAGCCGTCGCTCTGCTTCTATCATGTTGAACTCTCCCCACTCCACTGTCTGCCATAGATGCACATAAACATCATTCATTGAAATGGATATAGCTTTTCTTACCTATATATATCCTCCCTACAAATAGTAATGCATGCAACTCTAACAACATGTTTGGTTAAAGGAATTTGAGAGGAAAAGAAAAATAAAATGAGAAGGGAAATATTTTTCTTTTTGGTTAAAGAGAAAAAGAAAAGAAAAATGTAACGAAAAGAAAATGAGAAAATAATAAATATTAAGGAGAGGGACAACTAAGTTCTTCCCATTTAGGTAAGAAAAATGAAGAAAACTATTTTCTTTTCTTTTCCTTTCAAATTTCTTGAACCAAACATAAACATAGTGTAAGTCTTCATTAATGGTTAAATGGGAAAAGTACTAGAATAAGACCAAAAGGCACTCATGTTCTTCTTCAAATATGACTACTCCCACATGCAATGCCTAAAGTCTTAAGTGCCATGACAAAAATATTGTCCCCCCATAAGAAATTTAAAAAGTAAACATTCATCAAGCCATTTTTCCTCCGTCCAACTAGCCATGCGGCTAGACCCGATCACGGGCTTGGGTACCTGCCCGGCCTGTAAAAGCCCGCCTGAAAAAACACGAGTTTGTGCTAGAGTAATTATGTGCAGGTTGGCCCGGACCGTAATTTACGGGTATCCGTAAATAATGAAAGCCGGGTATGGACTTTGATATTTGAGCCTGTGGGCGGCCGGCCGATACAAATAATGCACTATTTATATTTTCTACTCCCTCCATTTGGAAAAAGTGTTCCTCTTTTGACTTTGTGTAAAAATAAGGAAGTACTACGTATTAAATTATAGTTGACTTCCAATTTTGCCCTTGATGTGATAGGTAAAAGTAAGATGTGGTGGATAGATTATTAGAGATAAAGTATGATGTGATAGGTAGGGTATGAAAAAATAAGGGTAAAAGTGGTTTTTTAATAGAAAGTGAAAGTGTTTTGTTAGAAGTGAAAAAAATGTAAGAGGAAGTGTTTTTGAGAACGGAGTGAGTAGAAGCTAAGTTATTGGACATGTTAAAAAAAAAGTCACCGGACCATTGTTTACTCATTTGGCCAATGGCCCATCACCATTAGCCTAGCCCATTAACGTTACCCATGTTAGATTAGAGTAAAAGACCTAAAAAAAAATATCCAAGTCCCCTTCCACCTACCATCTCCGATATTTAGAAAAAACTTGCTTAAAAATAAATAGATAGGTAAGAGCTAGAAGTATTTATTTATTCTATCTTAAAGTTAACTAATAAGTACAGAAAAAGCATTATATCTACTGACTTATAAATTAAAAATAACTTAAACGTAATTTTGACAAGCTTATGAGTATCGTGAAACACTTACTTAATGAGCAACAACAAATAGAAACCCTTCTAAAACAACTAATTAACCATCAAAGACTTCAAAATTTCACAAAACTAGAAGAATAAAGAGTGTGAATTAAAATTTATGTTTACTAAATGAAGTGAACCAATTCCAATGAATTACTCCATCCGTTCATCAAAACGGTTCCTATTTTGACTAATAATGTAAGAAATAATGAATATATATTTGTAGTTAGTTTTCTAATATTGCTCTTGATGTGATGGGTAAAAGTAAAATGTAATGAGTATATTATTAGTAAAAAAATATAATGTAATAGGTAGGGTAAGAAAAGTAGAAATAAAAATGGTTTATTAATAGAAAGTGGAAGTGTTTTAGCAAAAGAAAAAAAGAGGAAGAGTTTTGATGAGAGCAATGGTATGTTCACAAACAGAAATTAAACGTCACAAACTACATAAACTTACTGTTTATAGTTTAAATTTTTATTTTAAAATTATTTAGACTATTTATTTTTTTGTATTAAAGTTCACAAATAATAAATTTGTGAAGTTTGTGACGACTGTGTTTGTGAACCAAATATTTTTGTTTTGATAAAGGGAGGTACTATTAGTTACCTTGCTAGGTATTCTTCTTCCGCGAAACACATGACCTTCTTCATGAGCAACTCCACTGAAGGATGGCTGTGAATGAATATAGATGGAATAAAGACCATCATGCCCTCGGAAGAACTGCTCCCAGAGTGGCGCCAATGGCAAGGTCCCCCTCGCCAAGAACATGAAGGCTACTTTCGGGCGGTACGTAAATGGTGCCTTTTTCACTTTTGGAACATGTGATGCCCTCCACAACAGCTCCTCATCGCTCATCCCATGCATGCACGGCGGCGGCTTTAGGTACTCCTGTAGAGTGACCAGCTTCCCTGCGGGTTGTGGTGTCGCCCGGCTTTTCTGCGGTGGCGGGGGTCGCTGCCTGGGAAATAATGCGGGGTCCAGCTGAGATAGTGTGGAGAGGGGGTCTTGGGTTATAATTTTACGTGGTGCCGTGGGTTGCAGCAGGGGAGGGGGATGGGCGGCGGAGAAGAGCTTGAGCTGTAAGTTAAATGGAGGGTCTTTTAGGTAGAAACTTATGGACATTCCGATGACTAGACCGGAGCCGAAGAAGAGAAAATATAGAATTAGGATGTGGAGATGCCTGTGAGAATTCATCATCATCTTATTTGCTGTCATTATTTGGCTTTTCTCGTTCTTCATTTTCAAATCTGTAACATAATTAACTGAAATAAAAAGCAGAAGAGATTGACCGATCATCGAGGGGTAGCTAGCTCTAATTTTTAATTTTTAATTTTGGTAGCTAGAAAAATTGGTGGGTCACATTCATCTATGTTAGCTATATATATATATATGGGATTGACTCCAGTGAGATGACACCTTATGGTAAGATGACATGCTTCAATGAGATGACACAACACTGCCAATGGAAAGCTCACCAACTGCCAATGCAAAACTCACCAACTACCAATGCAAAGCTCACCAACTGTCAATGCAAAGCTCACCACTTTTTTAAAATAAAAAAGGTTAAAAAAATAACACCACCACTCAACCACCGCTCAATCACCGCTCAACCACCGGTCCACGGCAATAGTGGGGGTCATCGGTGGTGGCCATTGGTCATGGGCGGTCAAAGTGTAAAGCTCACCAACTATCAATGCAAAGCTCACCAACTGTCAATGAAAAGCTCACCAAGGAACAATGCAAAGCTCACCACTTTTTTTTAAAAAAAAAAAGCTGATAAAGCAAAGCTCACCACATTACACTACAAAGCTCACCAATGGACAATGCAAAGCTCACCTAGAAATAAAGCAAAGCTCACCACTTTGAACCCCAAAACTCACCTTTTTTTTTAAATTTTAAAAACTAAAAATTAATTAAAAATAAAATAACAACACCAGTCAACCACCGGTCAAGGGCGGCGGAGCAGCAGTGGCGGCCGGAGTCCGGCGACCGGCGGCGACGGCGGCGACGGTGGCCGGCGGTAGGCGGCGGTAAATGCTGGCAGTCAACAGTCAAAGTCCAGTCAGCACCCTTTCCTTTGATTTTTTTTTTTGGAAAAAAATTCAAAGTGTTGAAAAAATATAGTGAGCTTTGCCTTACACTTTGGTGAGCTTTATAGTTGTCTTTGGTGAGCTTTGCAGTGACTAGTGGTGAGCTTTGTGTCATCTGACCGAAGCATGTCATCTCACCGTAAGGTGTCATCTCACTGGAGTCAATCCCTATATATATATATCTGTGTGTGTGTGTGTGTGTTAATCAGTGTGACTTAACAAATTTTGTAATGAATGCAAGGGTGCAACAAAAGGGTGAACCTCTCTACCTGGGCTGGATCATCAACACGAGATGGTTATAATTAGTAATCGATCATGAAAAGGAGGAACGCATGGCATGATCGAATTGAATGATATTACCAAAGAGATGATGAAGATGAAGAAGGTGAAGGTGGCCAGGCCAAGGAATTAATGACTGACTGAAGCGTTCAAGAGGATCGGATGTTTTAGTACGTGCGTGAGGAAGCGATCGAATTGAAGGTGATGATATGATCGATCAGCGGCCAGCAGAAAGCTAGCATTATTAATTAGCTTTTGATATCCCAGCAGGCCAATTAGTATATGGATCTCAATGCTCTAAGAAGCGGAAGAAGAAGAAGAATGAAAAAGGAAAAATTATTTTATTTTTTGAAAGGGAGGGATGGAAAAAGATGCAGTAAGTTCCATGTTTGTTGGGAAAGTAGGGGAAGGGTCTACGCTTGTTCATCGTATCAAATTCTCACCCTTGAAGAAATGGTCTTTCAGTTACGCATCAACGACCATCCTGCGGAGCAAATTTCGTTCTAACTAGGCACGTACGGCTGAAAACCGTGATATTTCTCTACTAGCAGTAGTCGATGGTTAGAGGATTTCTATTCCTATGATTTGTTAAGAGATTAAGCTGAGCCAAACATGACATTTATTTATGCGAGAACTCCCTAGATTAGAATAAAAAAAATGAAAATATAAAAATAAAAGTTATCAGTCTTTTAAATTAAAATAGGAGGTTATGCTGTCATTTTTACATTGCTACATTTACTACATTAACACAATGTAACTGTCACATAATCATCGCTAAACTGTCATCCGTCGTCTTCGACCACCAGAGTGATGTTGTAGATCGCAGACGATTGACTTATTACACCGATATATTACATTGTCATTACTTTTTCATCACGCTTCCAACGCGTATTTTTACACCACACTGCTGCATGCCATTATATTATTATTTAGGTCCTAAAAGACTTTGGACTCCTATTTTGGTAATTTCATATTTTTTTACTTCTATCCCGGGAGATTTCTTTTTATTTATCTCATGAATATGTCATGAATAAGAATGAAAATTTTTATCTCAGATAAAGAATCATTGCTTTATGAAAATGTAGCACTACATATTGACATTTCACACTTCTTTTTCTATATTACTCCTCAAGAAATCATTTCAAATTAATAGGAGTAAAACATAGAAAATGTACCAAAGCTAAAACTCCATATTTTTATTCTCAAAATAGGAATTCATATTATGGTAATGTGACACTACATATGGACATTTCATTATATCTTTTAGTAATGTATATGGTCATGATTGACACTGTAAATGTATTTTTACAAGAAAATTGTATGTTATTTACGAGGTTTGAGTGAAGTTATTTTTAGTTCAATTTATATGAAAAAGTAAAGAATTTAAAAATAAAATTTATATATTTAAAAACTACATCAAAAGTTTTACAAAACCAGAGATGACAAGACGATCTGGCTATATTATTTTTTCGAATGGGTTGAAAAAATAGGTAGATAGAGAACGCGCGTGGTTAAGGTTTGACCATGTGAATAATAAACATGCAACTTGTAGAGACGATTCGAATATTATTATTCTATTTCACACACATAAGGAATGGTACATCTGAGTACATATAGAGAGGATTCCTGAAACAGTTAGGAACTAGATATAAAAGTCTACTATAATTAGGACTAATTGAAATAATTGTCTAACATCACTCTCAAGCTGAACTCCGAGTCACGAGTTGAAGCTTGGATACAAGAGCACGAAAGCGTGGTGCAGGTAGTGCCTTGGTCAACATATCAGCCAATTAATCTTTTAGAAGCTTGGACCAAAAAAAATGTACCCCGACTAGGACCAAATTAGTCCCAATCAGGGACTTGCGTTTGAAATTAGAAGCTATCAGCGTTCACCCCACTCAGCCACCCGAACAGGAAATATAGACATCACCTTGGTAGCATCCTCCGCCATCTTCCTATATAATGGCCACTTCATCAACTCTTACCATTTTCACAATTCTTAGCTTTTTTCTATTCTGTTGTCGTGAGTGAGGAGAACGCAGTGGTGCTGTCAATTTGGTGAGAGGTCACCGGAAATTCTTAAAGCCTCCATTTAAGCTTGAGGTAAGCCCGTAGATATATCTAGTGACTAGAATGTTCGTATAGATCGTTTCTATGTTCATAAATGGTCATTTGGTTGAATTTTGTGTTTGACATGCTTGAAGAACCAAGAATCATAAACCTTGTAACTGTTGTAAAAACTACGAACTAATGATACCAAAATGATCTATGAACTTTGGAAAACATTTCTATATAGTTTAATTGAAGTTTGGTAACTAAAAATAGTATTTTCAAAAATGGACCTGAGGAAGAAGATGACAAAAAGGTAACCTTCTATAAATCTGTCAGGATGATCGATCCTGGCTAGTGGATCGATCCAAGGGTGATCGATCACCAGCCCTGGATCGATCCACCGAGCTGTGTGATCCGAAAATGTTTTTGAAAATCTTGTTTTTGGAGCTCTAAAATCCTATTTTTGATACTAATCAATTTTGATCAATATAAAGATAATTTCTTGAAATAAAAATGTTGTTTTTGACAAATAAAATATTATGTGATGTATGACAGTAAGCTACTGTGTTAACACTCGATGCTAGACCTCTATTTGTTATTGAATGTTATGATGATTATTATTTATTGATTATTATGATGAATATTTAGATTAGTGATTATGATGATTAAACTGATTAAAGTAATGATTATGAATAAATAAATCATAACTAAAAATAGATATATATATTGATGATCATGAAAATGATGTGTATTATTAAGGGTATCTAAAAAAATCTAAGATATACCCATTTAGGTAATTGATGTTGATTTTAAGGGGAGCTAGAAGAACTCTAAGATATACCCAATTAGTTAGGCCTAGTGGGTATGATGTCCAGTGGCCAGGGTTAAAATGTTCGTACGGGATCCACAAACCGAACTTGAGTACCTACTCGTTTGGCGGTACCACCAAACCCGACGGTGAGTAGTCCACTGTTCGGTTTTCTAGTTATTTTAACGCCACAAAAAATGGCCTAAAATTTATTATAAAACAAAAGTAGTTTTGAATATCATTTTTGTCCAATAAGAAATATTTATACGTTTGACAAAAAATGAATGGATTTTCCAAATGATAATTTTCTTTTAAAAACTTATTTTTATGGATATGTCTCCAAGAGACGAATCCAACAGGACATTTTATGAACCAATCTGATTTATAGATTTCAAGCTATGACGATTTTAAATATTAAAATGTATTACTTCGACCCATAAATTAAACTAAATTCAAAAGTGAATTCATAAGATTAGACATCTAAATCTTTGACACTTAACAATACCATATTCATCATTTGGATATAATTCATATTTTTTTTTATAAAGGAAAGTTTTATTAAAAACGAAAAAAGAACAGTACAAATGGGGTGGCCAGATGCCCCTACAATTTGGCCAAGGAAGATTAATGGAAATACACGCACCAAAAGATAGATATCCCAAACAAAGATAACATTCCAAAAAATCTACATGGACATCAATAATACAGGTTTGTTGAAAATTGCGCCAAGGACCAGGCTGTAGTCTGCAGAAGTTGAGTGTAAATTAGGACCAGGCTGTAGCTCCAAGCTATAGAAAACAAAGTCAGAATGGGATATAATTCATATATTTTATCCCATTCATATTCTAAAATTAATTTATGATTGAGACAGCCCAGACATTAAAAAAATAAAAGTTCTAAGAAAAATATTTTCATTATTTCAAAATTCTAGTTTTGACAGTCTCATTCCAAAAATACAATCCGTTTTCAATTCGGAACAGTTTGGGAAAAAAAGCGCGTCCCGTTTAGGGTAAACTGTTTAGTTTGGACCAAAAACCAAACTTAATAATCTAAAAAGAAATCACCCTATGTAGCACTTTATGTCACTCAATATTACGCATATAGCACTCCCTAATCTTTTATACAAATTTAGCTATTTATAGTGTCAATATCTTCCAAACATACCCTCTACCTTTTATTATATTCTACTATTTTTAATTATTTTTAATTATTTGATTTAACTTAGGTTATTCACGTAGCAACTCCTTCTCATATGTGCGGCTCTTCCTCATTCGTGTGTCTCATGCGTGCGAGAACATCATTCTACGCCGTTTACCATAGCTCTGTGAGATCCTCCTCCTACACAATTTACCAATGTATAATGCCTAAACAAGTCCGTACGTATTAATTTAAGTTCCATATTTAGCGCCCATGTTTGGCCAGTGTGTTTTGGTGTAATATATTATTCATGAAAGCATTCATACATTTTTAGGCAGTGTGGAATTCATACATGAAAATAGTCATGCACATTTTTGGCAGCGTGGAATTCATACATAAAAAGAGATATACATTTTTTGGGAAATGTGGAATTCACACATGAAAACAGTTATGCATTTTTTGAAAGTGTAGAATTTATACATGAAAATACTGCCACCTAAATCAATGGACATTACACTCCAACATGAAATTAAGGAACACAATAATACATTTACACACTGACGTAAGATATAACAACATAGATCAATTCTACACTGCCACATTAAATTCTCACATATAAAAAACCATACTTCCCACTACACAATTACAAGTGAACAACCATGCACACTGCCCAAAACAATTGTATTTTGTGGCAGTGTATAATGAATATTTGCTATTTAATTAAAGGACAAAATTGGAATCACATGTGCGAAACATATAGTATTAGTATTTAGAGTATTTTAAGGCTCTAAGAGTGCTATTTTGGTTTTTTTCCCAATCTCAAATCCCACATATCACGGATGAGCCCCCTATTTAGTCCACCAAAGATAGGCTATCTTCATTATTTACTCCACTAACACAATACTCCAAGGTTTGATTACATAATACTCCAAAATTTCTCATAATCATCACCATCATCTTCCACCAACACATCAACTCCATCTTCCTCTCTCCTTCTCTTCTCCTCCATCCTTTCAAGCAAGTTCCAGCAAGGAGGGGACACTCATCATCCCATAGTTTTGTGCCAAGGAAGAAGAAGGAACAAGAAGAAAACTATCCAAGGTTTTTCAAAATTTTGAGTTCAAAAAGGCTGCAGACACTTCAAGATAAAAACTGAAATTTTTCATCAATTTTCCCGAAATACTTTCTACACCAAAGTTTTATCCCCGGATGTTACAAATCCAACTCAACAAATGGTTCGCAATTTCGTTGAGAAACGAAGGAGATATGACCAAAATACCGGGACTGCGCCTGTGGTGGCGAGCTCCTCGGGTTGGGCTAGTTTCTTCACCATATTCATATTGTTTCATTCCAAACACTTACCATCAAGTCTCTAAAAATTATTAGCAACTTTCGGAAGGTATCGTAGAGAAGGTTTGATGATGGAATCTTGAAGTTGATAAGTTGATTGTCGGAATCATCGTTCATCGAAATATCCAAAATCCTGGCAGCACATATCCGTCCACTTCTAAGCTATGTTAGACAAGTTTAACTTCATTATTTTAACATGATTTCTTTAGAAAAGTTATAGCCTTACATCTTAGGAATCCACAGAATCAAACGGTTTGCAATTCCGTGAAGAAACGATGGAGATATGACCAAAATACAGGAGGCTGTCCAATTGTGACGGGAATGACAAAGCTGGTGAATTTCGACATTGATTTCACTCCCGTTCTTTTGCAAGGTTTCGGCCTTTGATTTCCAGGTCCGTACCCTTGCGTTAGATTTGTCGAATCATTCATCACATACGTACATGAACATATATATTAATCCATATGTTGAAACTATCTCCAAATGTATATGTGATACATATATATATATATATATACATATACATATATATATATATATATATATCTATATATATATATATATATGTCATCTATGTGTTAAGATCAAAATACACCAAATCCATAAAGTTAATATATACATAAGCAAATATAAACATTGGAAATGAACCCAAAACATGTATATATTAATCAAATGTGTTTAAAAGACTTAAATATGTATTTTAGACACTCATAATATCAAAAATAAGTTTCGCAGACCCAAACGATCGATGCAAACGGTCGACCATCGTATTAATTTCCAAAACGGACTACGATTGTCAACAGAACGGTCGACCGCCGTAGCCGAACGGCCGACCATCCCAGCCCATCCAAACGCAACCACATCCCACGCAGTCAACAATGGTCGACCGTTGGTCAAGCACAGTCGACCGTCATAGTGTTCCAAACTGACGAGATGAATTGAATCACGGTCAACCGCCGTGTCAAACGGTCAACCGTTCTGAGCCCCGTAACTTAATTAAATGATATTTTAATCATGTTTCAACCAAATAAACTCATGCATGATTATATATTCATATTTTTGCAAATTGTTCATATCATATGATTCATTTCATCATTCATATTGAAGCATATCATAGCATATGCATGCATAAGAGATCATGCCTCGTGCGTCTCTTATAGTGTGATTGTGCAGGACTTATTAGTCCGACATCACACGTTCGGGCTTAGTGTATTTAAATGGTATTCAGGCTTTCGAGTAACACCCTTATCTTGTTTCTAGTCTCATTCATGAGACCAATGTGGAGTGAGTTTGTGGTACAAACTGGGCGAATGTCATTATGCAAGGGTCGTCGTTGCACGTTAGTTTCATGCATCATGCTATCATCATCAAGTATAATTATATTGATTATATGTGCTATCATATAATCATCATCAAGAACAATCATAATGATTATATGTTCTATCATATAATCATCATCAAGAATAATCATATTGATTAAACGTACCTTCATGTAATCATCATCAAGTATTTATCCTCATGAACCATCAACTTGATCATATGATAAAATGTGCCATATCATGAATATTATTATACGTTTTTGTGAACGTATATATTTGTATATGTATATGTCTGTGAATTATTCTGCAGTTCTAGCGTGGTACCACTCAGCGGTTTCGCTGAGCGTGTAGTTTGTATTTTTTCGTTGACTACACGTAGGTAACAAGAGGACAATGACGAAACAACTCCTGGAGGGCATTTAGTCAGAGGAGATGCACGGATTGCAGGCAAATGTTTGATCATCAAGATTTTAAATGTGTCATGATTTGATTATTATTGTACTTCTGCGTTACTCCGAAAATATTTTTAATGGGTCACGATCCAAAGTGTGTAAATTTAACATTTGTAAGAAATTGTCATTTTCAAATGTCAAAAGAAATTTTTATTTAACTCCGGTTTCACCTTAATACGTGTAATTCCGGGTTATACGGATTAGGGTGTTGTAGTTGTACCTTAAGCAAATGCTAGTTTAAGAGTTGGAAAACCTTTTTAAAAATTATACCTTAAACTAGCATAGCTTAAGAGTTGGTAAGAAATATCTTAAACTAGGAATAGTTTAAAAGTTGGTTAAAATTAAAGCCTTAGACTAAGAATAGTTTAAGAGCTTTGTTATTAAAATGATTTGGTTTAGATTAAGAATAATTTAAGAGCACTCTTGAAATACTAAACATTGAATATTATGTAAATCATGAAATGACTTGAATTAAAATATTGTGAATGTCAAGAATGATGAATGCTTGAATTGAATATTATGTGCCTGATATCAAATGATTTGATTATGAAGTGAGATTCAGTTTTTGTGGATGGTCGATGCATTGGATATCCTTACCCAGCTTCAACGCTGAGCGTGTAGTATGTTTTATTTGCTACATGCAGGTAAACAAAAAGAATGAAGTGACATATTCCTGGCGGCAGATGGGGCGATACGGTCGTGATGGATTTTTGGATTTAAATTATTATCCTAAAGATATAAAATAATTAATTGTGATTGTCATGAGACATATTTTAAATTTGCTTCCGCATTATTGAACACTCCATATTTCTATAGTTTATGTATTGAATATTATTTATGATAAATATAGATTTGAATGTTTTTTTGAACACGCATTATTGAACATTCCATGTTTTATTTGAATGTTTTTTAATTTTACAATTACCAAGTTTATACTTTAGTCCGAAAGGGCTGCAGACGTGGATGGATTAGGGTGTTAGAATTTGGTATCGGAGCAAATGGTTTTAAACCCAATCTTCGGATCAAAATTTGATATATATATATATATATACACACACACACACACATATATATATATATCTGTGTGTGTGTGTGTGTATCTGTATGTATGTATTTCGTTTATAAAAGAATTTGTCAATCACATCCACGACTCTCGCATCCATCTATATTAATTTTTTCCTAGATGACGATAGTTAACTCTGAAATGATATCAAGTGTTGACTCATGTCAAACTTTCGTACTCGGAAAGAGACGAAAGAATAAACAAAAAGTATATGACTCTATGATACGTTATGAACGTGCTCATCGCATTGCGAGATTAATGAAACAAATAATTTATCTGCGCCGCAAAGCTGCGTCGGAACGAGACAATCCTGAAGAGACGTTCAGTGTAGACTCTACAAATAATATCTGCGGATCCGGTTTAGAAGACCCCTTTGTGGACTCGACACGATCCAAGCAATCAAGCGTAAACATTTAGAATTAATCATAGTGTTCTTTCTAAATCCTTTGATTGTATCAATTGTTGTATTCCTTGTGATTCCTGTCATAAAACTCAACTATTGAAATAAAGAATCCTAATAAAGGAATTTCTGTTATTTGTAAAATGAGTCAAGAAACCACCCATGGTCAAGGCAACAACAATGAACACGTGAGTGTTTATACTGAAGCTTCTAGTTTCACCCCTCCAATCCAAAATGAACATGTGAACCCCCAGAATGTCCCTCATAATCTGGGAAACAACGCGAATGTTGGTGGTCAACCTGACTATGCAATACCTATCTTTCTGGCAAACTTGTTACAATAAGTGGCCAACGCTGCAATGTGTCAACCACCACCACCACCGCGTGTAATCACTTTCAAAACTCTAAAAGAGAATGGAGCTGAAGAATGTCTGGGTGATTGAATCGCTGAACCCCAAGTTTCTTGGGACTGGATCGAGCAGACCGCTCGAGTATTGGGAGATTTAAATGTACCTCTCAACGACTATTCGAGGCTGGCAGCCCAACTACTTTGTAAGGAAGATTGCGAATGGTGGAAAAGAATTGACGAGAATCAAGAGATGCCAAAACCTTGGACTTGGTCGTACTTTGGTTGGGCATTCAAAAAGTAGTATATTCCGGTACGTTACTGCAAAGAGAAACATATGGAATTTGTTGAGCTGCAACAAAGGGATATGACGCTCCCCGCATACCATCAAAACTTTGTCCACCTTGCCAAATTTGTGCCTTCATTGGTAAGCACCACGGCTAACCGCATTGAATAATTTAGGTCGAAACTCTGACCTGATCTCAGGGCACATGTATCCATCCTCCCAATGGTAGATTTTACTACAGCATATGATTTGATTGTCAAGGCGGTCAAAGACCTAAGTGCCTACAAGGAATACTTGAAGAAGGAAGGTGCTGGCGCAAGTGCTCATCGACCTGTAAATTCTGCCTTAAGTGGGAAAAGGCCGTTCCAAGGACCTAGTAGCTCGCACAACTCCAAGAAAGAAAAACCTGTACAAATCGAATCAGTAGCATCTGGCAATAGGTCAAAAGGATAGAAAAATCTAATATGTAACATGTGCGGGAGACATCACCCTGGGGAGTGTTGGCTTCCATAGGGATAATGTCTTTGTTGTGGAAAGCCTGGACATTTCCGAAAGAACTACCCCACGAATCCTGGTGAACCATTTCTAGCTACTGTTGTCAGCCAATCGGCATCGACACGACCTGCTCTTAGTCAACATTCAACAGCAGGATCTAATTGACAATCGTAGTTTTTCGGGTAGTAAACCTTCCCAATAAAGGGTTAGTTTTCTCTCCGAGTGTCGTGTCTCTCGGGGAGTGGACGAAGGGAATTAGTTTAATTACTCTAACTAGGCGAAGGCTTGGACAGGTTTATGAAAGTATTCTCGGAATGAGTAGAAAGGGAGCAGAGTAAAAATAATAAATAAATTTTACATAGTATAAGTGTAGATCTGGACCTAGGGTCTAGACATCATTTGGATTCATTTTATCATATTAAATTAACAATTGGAATAATAATATTTCTATTACTACTCATCCATTTCTAGATTTGTACTTAATCTGTTGCACTTGAATATCATAGCCATTTGACATACAATATTTTTTAGTAAATGGTCAATTAAATCTTACGAGTTTAATTAACCAAATAAGGAAAGAACAATAGATTAACCATTCCAACATTAATTTAATATAAAAAATAAACAACCAAACTAGTCCGGACCCAGAGATCCGTACCCTAACTCATACTATACAAACATAAATTAAAACAACATTTTATTAAATAAAGAAAACTTACAACTTTCTTAAAGCGGAACAGAACAAATCGGGAGTCAAGTCTTCAGAAAATACTTCAAAATAATAACTAAACTAATATACAACTAATATTGAATGAAAAAGAGGAGAAAACCCGAGTAAGGGTTGTAGAAATGGTGTGTAAAAGGTGGAGAGTGGCGCTGCTTTTATAGGGCAGGGAGTACGGCCGTCCAACTCTCTGGGCGACCAACTTTGGATGCCCGTACCTAAAATACGTGTTCCGTCCAGTTCAAACGCGCCACGTGGAATTACCGTGTCACTCTTCCTTGCTTGGGCGTCCAACTACCACAGGCGTCCAACTTTGGACGCCCAGGACCCGAATCCAGCGCCCATTTTGCTTCCAATTGCGGTTTCTCGTGATTTTGGGCCTGAAATTGTTCCGTATTGACCCAATTGGCTCCCGGACAATGATTTCTACCTCCGAAGTATTATGATCTTTAAAATCTGAAACTTTTCATCCAATTTGGACATAAAATTGACAAATCCACTTAATTTAATTTGGAACCTGTATTTTATTCTTCTTGAGACAAAACATCAGTTTTGTCACTAGTAGACACTTTGAATGGGTAAATTTATTCCTATTTTCTTGCAATAACGCCTAAAATATGTAGAATAAAATAAGAACAAAATGAACTTATCAAATTCCTCACACTTAAACGTTGCTTGCCCTCAAGCAACAAATTGAATAAATTATGTATGAAAACAAATTAGCAATCACAAAAGAAATGTTTAAGTTACACAACTTGAAGGAAAAGAAAGATAAGATGGTCATCAATGTTTTTGCATGAACAAGTAAATTTATAGATTCTCACCCATATTGTCAGAAATTTAAAAGTATTTTGTCAAACCAATATTTTTACCCAATTAAATCAAAACTAAATTCTAAATTTTCATTGGGACAATCATATTTCTAAGGATTATTTTAAAATCAAAAAGCGTTTAAAAGCTCTAATAAAAATGGATTTCCAAAAAGGTTTTTGTCAAACAATAAGGGCCTATTTATTTTATTAAGCATTATTTATCACGAGAGAAATCTCGGAATCATCAAGGCATGTTTTATTATTGAGATTATGGATTTATTCTATGACAAATGCATACTTGCTCCCTCGCCTTATGCAATTAGCGGGAGAAGCAGAGCTCCTTTGCGGAGATAGAATTTCCAATTCGTCACTTAAGCGCAATCCCAATAAAATTTAAACCATTAGAATTTTTTTATATAGACCCTTATATTTAGAAGAAACCTTTATGAGAAACGACATTTTTAAAGAAGCTATTTAAAAATTGATTGATCTTAAAAACAACTTAGAAAATACTAATGTATCCCAAATGATTTAAAAATAGTTTGAAAAAAAATTAGGGAAAAGATAAGAGTTTGACAAAAAGTTTAAAAATTTCTAATTTTATGGGTGATAACTAAAAACTTATTTATTTAAACAAAAGAGTTGATGAACAATTCTTATAAAATCTTTACCCACAAATATGCAAAGCAAACAATTCTAACCCGGAATATTTCATCCAAGAATTCACATCCTCCTCACACTTAAACAGAACCACGCCCTTGCAGCAAAAAAAAAGTGTTTTGGAGTAGAATTTTTGGTTGAAATATCAAGGATATGATGACTAAGATGATTGCATATGTAAAATATTCAAAATAATGATTGAAATTGTAAATAAGCATAACCATAAAAGTTTACCAGAAGAAGTCAAACAGGAATCCAATTAAACCAGTCAAGTCATCAACTCAAGCTCAAATAAGATAAAAAGTTCTGAAAAAGTAGGAGATCACTGCGGAGGCTGGGAGGTGGAAGGATCAGAGTCTCGGGGATGCTGCTGCTGTGGAGGGAGGTTTGTCGAATTTTCAAAACCCAACGCTGCACGCATCCTATCAAGTCCATGCACCTGCTGCTGGAGTGCCGTGACAGATTGCATAAGTGTATACTGGTTCTCCAAGAGCTGCTGGGCCCATGCCGGTGCTACCTCCGTCTGAGCGCGAGCCAATTGTGCTCTGGTAGTTCGTCGACGAGGAAGACACTAAGACGATCTCTGTGACTGACCGGAGGACTCTCCCATCTCATGTGAACTGCGGCGAGTAGAAGCCGTAGTGCTCTAAGAAGAGCTAGAAAAGAGTCTCTGGTGGATGTGAGCATTCCGGAGCAGGCCGGCATCTAACTCCCTCATCAACTAGGCAGGTCGTGAGATCGGTGCATTCCCCATGAGGGAGCGAAAGAGCAGTGTAATCACGAACCCACGCACCAAGTGCGTCCTACACCCGTAGGACTGGGAGTATAAGAATCTGGCAAGGTACACAGCCACGTTCGCTGGCTGGTGGTCGTGCACGCTCCAAAAGACAAACATATCCTCCTCGTAGACCCTATCAGTGTTCAACGGCCTCCCAAAGAAGGATGTCGAGAGAACAAAAGATAAGATTCTCCAGCTGGGCCGAATCCAAAATCGAGCCTTAGCTTGCTCTTCTTGTTCACGAACTCCTTGTCGTCAGATGAGTGCTCCCTCCAGAAAGCTACCGCGTCAAAATATGCGGGAAGACAAAAGGGAGCGTCGTAGAACTCATGCTGCTCGGTCTCCTCCTGGGTGTAGAGCCCGAGACGAACAGCCATCTCTCTCACCGTCAACTGAAATGACTGGCCCGTAAGGGTGAAGGCAAATAGAGTATCAACAGTGATCAAGGTGTGAGTCATCTGGCGTGACTCAATCTCTAGGACAGCAACATAAGAACTCGATGGTCAGAGGTAGGCTAGACTCTGCCCTCATCTGAAGCAGGCGCTGCCATCTGGTCCCCTCAAGCAACTCCTCTATCTACTCTGCATAGCCATAGTCCGTCAGTGTGTCCTGAGCCAAACACACCGACTCGTGTAACACTCGCGAGTGTCCCCACTCATCGAACCTCGTCCTAGAAGCAGCATCAATCAGTTGGACCTCATTACGGTCCACAGTAGGGTACGAAGGTCGATGAGGCATCTGCACACACATAAACAAAACACACATAAACAAAACACATAAAATCTTGCCCCCAAAACTGGTGCGGCAAGTAGAAACTCAAAAATAACAAATAAAATTGTTGAATTTATTTAAATATTTTAGTTATTTGAATGACAGGTTGCCTCCTGTTAAGCGCTTCTTTAACGTCCGTAGCTTGACGCTCACCCACTTTTTCTGCGACTTTCCAATCCGAGAGTCATAAAGTTTGACCCTTCTGACTCTCTTCTGATACCACCTTGTTTGAATTTTCGCTGGGTCAAGGTCCAGGATCCTTGGCTCATCCCTGCGGCTTGGTGGCAACAAGATAAAAGGAGGAGACTCTTGATAAGTGGGTGGTGGCGGAAGTCTCCTCAGTTGATCCACATCATTGGCCTTCATAGCAAGATTGATTTCTTCCTTGTCTTCAATGGGTTGACCATCCAATTGTGGTTTGACGATTACGACCGTGATTTCTCCCATGGAAGAGTCCTTAATACCACTTACCAGAAGTTCATCCCAACTCTTTTGGCTCCAACTATCCTCCGGGTAAACCGGGTTACACCCGTCAGGCAAGGAGTCAAATAAAGTTTGGTCTGAATCTGCTGGTGAGGCATTATTTGCACAGGTTTCTATAGACGAAGTTCGGTTTTCCATGCACAGTATTTCCTCGTCAACAGATTCCTCCTCACACTCTTGGACATTGGAATCTTGGGGGCAGGTAATGGGCTCTATCTCCTCCAGAACAGGTTCCTCTGGAGGTGTGTCTTTAACACAATTAAGGAGATGTTCGTTTATTGCCATAGGCAAAACTTCCTCCTCCTTCTATTCTTGAATAAGCATAGGTGGTTCTGAGTAAGGTCCCTCAGTTGGTTCCACCTCATGTACAACTATGCTGGCTGGGACTTGGCTAGGAGGGTATTCATGTAACATCACCACAGTAGCCCCAGTGAGAGTTGTTATGCTCTCGGGTTTCTGTGATAGTGTTGGTCTGGGTGAATCTTCTAGAACTGGAACCTGATGGTTCAATGGTTCGGGGTTGGCCTTAGTTTTTAAGTGATGTTTTCCAAAGAACTTAATACTCTATTTTAATTAAATCTGGGGGCAGGTCCTTGGGTTGTTAAAAATAGTAGGGTCTAAAGTTAGGGCATGACTTAACATAGGCTATACTAGGGAGAATAGGGAAGAACCGCAGGTAGATTTTTTCTTCAACTTAACCCAAGAGTTTTGTCAATCATTTTAATTTGGGGTAGTCTTAGTTAATTTGAGAAGCCGGATTTGATCAATTCGTTTTTAAAAACCATAAAGTATTTTCAAAATCAGTTTAAGTTAATTATTATCGTTTACGTTTTTATAAAGTTTAAAGTGTTTTTTAGTTTTGTGTTAGTGTTGTCCTTGTGTGTCTTCATCCTTGTTCTAAGTGGCTGCCATGGTTGTGTTTCTTTACCCATTTTATCCTTTTTATTTATCTTTATCTTTCCAATTTATCTTTTAAAACCCCCTGAATAGTTAGCTCTTTTATTAGTTGTTTTTAAATGGAAAAAAACGTAGAACTTAAGTAAGTGATTTTCATAAAATAATTAAAGATCATCTTTCTCCGTGGGATCGACTCTTACTTACCCTAGCTATGAAATATAAGTTTTGAATTAAAAAGAGGATGAGAAAAAAGAATTAATTTGTAGGCACTACGACACGCCTAACAAATTTTGGCGCTGTTGCCGGGGAAAGATTACTTTTTATGAGAACCAATTTGCTTGTAACACCCCAACTCGAATAACCAAATTACCTAGATTATTCGAGCCGGAGTAGTTACCATGATGGTAAATACGCATAATAATTTGAGGAATAATTTAAATCCAATTTAAACTTTTATATAAATGATAATTTCAAATATTAAATTCAGAGTATTGCTGAAACAGTGCGGAAGCTTAAATATAAAACATAATCAAATTGTTTTACATTTTCTAGGTACTCGCCCGAAAAGGTATTTATTTAATTAAAGCATCACAAAAGTGGTCCACCAGTCCGTACATCTCTTCACTCTCATTGACCTCCGGGATGGGCTCCATGACCAGTGTCGTTACCTGCGTGTAGCAAGTAAAACAAACTACACGCTCAGCGTCAGCTGAGGATTACGCTAGTACAACAATTCCAAATTGAATAGCAAGTAGACATACAATTATTCATGATATGACATAATATAGCATATATATTCAAGATGATGATAATGATACGTGATTGATGTCATACATGATCCTAATGATTGTACTTGATGATGATTTCATGCTATATGATTCTAACGAGCAAGGACACCCTTGCGCTATGAGATTCGCCCATTTGGTACGACGAACTCACGCGGCCTTAGTCTCTGAAGGGAGACTAGAAAGTAGGGGTGGTACTCGAAACTTGAATACCATGTACGTACACTAAGCCCGGAACGGGTGATGTCGGACTAATAAGTCTCGCACATCACACTACAAGAGATGCACTTCCGCCTGATCTCTTGCGCATGCACATGATGTGATATGTTTCAATATGGATGATGAAATGAATCACATGATATGAACAATTTGTAAACAACATGATTGGATAAATATACTTTATTTTATTTGGATGAGATCTGATAAAAATATCATTTATTTAAGCTACGGGGCTCGGAACGGTCGACCGTTAGGCGCGACGGTCGACCTTAAACTTCATCGCGTCGGGTTGGGGAATCACCGTGACGGTCGACCGCGGTTGACCGGCGGTCGACCGTTGTTGACTGGAGGTGGACGGCGACACTTGGCTGGGCAGGCGACGGTCAACCGTTGGCCACCGGCGGTCGACCGTTTGTCTGACAGTCTTGCTCCGTTTCGGTTCTTAACGCAACAGTTGACCGTTTACGTCGACCGTTCGGGTCTACGAATCCTATTTTTGATATTTTTGGATATCTAAAATACTTCTTTGAGTTATTTTAACACTTATTATTAACACATCTATGTATTTGAAGGATTCTTAACATTTATTGTAACACCCTAATCCATCCAGGTCTGCAGCCCCTTTCGGACTAAAGTATTAACTTGGTAATCGTAAAATTTAAAACTTTTCAAACACTTTTATTTATCATAATAATATTTTTCATATCATAAACATTACAGAGTTTTCAATATTGCGGAAGCTTAACAAATCATAACCACAAACATAATTTATCTATATTCTTTAATTCAAAACCATCACATCCATTCCGACTATCTCGCCTCCGTCTGCCTCCAGGATCACGTCACATCATTATATTGACCTGCGTGTAGCAAATAAAACACACTACACGCTCAGCGGTAAAGCTGAGTAAGCATATCTAATGCGTCGAACATCCACATAAATTGAATCTCAATTCATAATCAACCATTTGATATCATGCACATAATGTTCAGTTCAGATATTCAATAATCAATATACAATTTTCAACATTCATTATTCAATTATTCAACATTTTTATTCAACATACATCATACAATATTCATCATTTGTCATTCAACAATATCCTTAAACTATTCTTAGTCTAAGGCTAATCTATTTGATGTTTACCAACTCTTAAACAAATTCTAGTCTAACATAGTTAAACTATATTCAAGTTTAAGGTACTCTTATCTAACCCTTAAGCTAGGCCTAGTTTAAGATATAAATTTTCAAAAATAGGTTTTCAAAATCTTAAACTTACCTTCGATTAAGGTCATCCAAAAACCGAACAGCGGATCCGAAATGCTCACTGTCGGGTTGGGTGGTATCCCCAAACGAGTGCCTCAAGTTTGGTTTGTAGATCCCGTACGTACGTTTTAACCCAGGCCACCGAATACTCATGATTATACCCGCAAGGCCTATTTCTAAGCTATCTTAGAGGTCTTCTAGATAGTCTTAGAAACCAAAGTCAACCTAGATATATCCTAGAGTTCTT